GCAAATAAAAGTGCAAAGCAAATCACACACACTGGCATGCTAGCACAGCAGATAGCAAACCCTTTTCTCGCTGAGTAGATTCTTTCTCAGAGTAACAGACGAAGAATAGTCACTGGCCTCCAAATCCTACAATCATCCAATAACATTATGATATTGACACAATTACAGAAAGAAAAAAACTGCATTTTTAAAGAATTTCCTCCCATCCTTTCCTCCCACCCCCATCTCCCAGCTCACCAGAATGCATACAAATAATGCAAAATAAGTCTCTAGGGAAAAAATTAAACTAATGTGACAACTTCTAATTAGTGTGCTAAAGTAAATTATAGAAAATAAATACCCCACACAAGAATATGACTAATTTAACTAGTTTCTTACTTAAAATATCTTAGGAAAAATTCATATATTTGCATTAATTTTAGGACTTAAAACATAACCTTTTAAGATTGAAAATAAATAGTAAATTTCTGGTCTTAATTTAAGTAATAAAAACGAGCCATATAAAAATATTCAGCATTATTTTAGAAATGGTAAAGTATTTAACCTTTGAAAATTTGTTATATTTACTGTTAGGGAGAATAACGATTAATACAGTTTAAGAACTTTTACATCTCTGCCAAACTGAAAACAGAAAATGCTTTCATACCTAGAGCCTTCTAAACACTTTATTTTCCTTTACAATTAGAAGTGAAGTTCATTTCTTTTAAAACAATTATTGGGGGAAATATTTTATTTTTAGACTGATAGACTGCATACTTATAAATGCAAGAAAACATTCATGTTCATTTTTTTTAACCTAAAGTGCAATCCTAAATATATTTAACTAATCCAATGAAACCAATTTATTAATAAATCAGAGACATGAAAAATAAAATACCCTCCAGTCACTTATATGTCAGCATGATTTGAATAATTGGGGTTGTAGGTGAGCATTACATATAAAATCTTAAGGTTAAAGTATGCTCCACAGGACAGACAAAGATTTATGTCATCTGTGCCCATAGTATAAAATTCTACAATCACTTGAAACCGCAATAATGCAAAAGAGCCCTTATAATACACTGATGTATAAATTATGTCCATAATACTTCTCCATGCAAATTGGTTCACACTGTATCTTAACATAAAATTAACTGTTCATGTTTCAGATTCTATGCTATACCCGTTTACTGTCTAGTTTGTTCATAGATTATTTAAAATGATATAATTTATAACCCAACTACTGTTTATCTTTCTTTCAAATTCTAAATATATTTTCTTATTACTTACTAGATATAAATGTGTGACTTTATGTTCCAGAGTACATTACAAATTTCATATATCCTTAAATTCTCAAAGATATTATCTTTGGTTGGTATCTCTGGATGACTGTAACTTGTTTAAGCTATCACCAAATGTCATAGATTCAGTTCATTTTCATATTTTTTTTACTATTATAAAATGTTTTAGTGGATACTCTCATGCCTATCTCTACTTATTTCCTTTGGATCCACTTTTAGAAGTAGAACAATCTGATAAGAGGATATGAACACATCTCAGGTCTCTGATAGATGTCAAATTACCCTCTAAAGGAAACATCAATTCCCAGTTTTCTCCAGTAATATATAGAATATCCTATTTTCCTACATACTCAATACTAAACATACAATTTTCTTAATTTCTGCTAATTTCTCATAGTTCTTAACTGCATTTACCTTATTACTAATGTGTCAAGCACTTTTCTATCTTTACTGGATTTCTATGTCTTTGAATAGGCTGTTCATGACCTCTGTCCATTTTTCTATTGGCCTGTTTTGGAAATGCTTCGGCATAGTAATGAACTTATGACCTAAGAACTGACATTTCACCGAGGAAACTTCATCGAGAATGTCCTAGAAAATACACTGCAGGTTATGCTCTGTATGCGGTTGCGTCGTGTGGCACAGAAAGTTATCTGCCAAGAGCCCCAAAGCCAAGGAGCAGGAGAGAAGCGTATGGAACAAGCTGCTCCCCGCATTCCCGGGCCCCCTGGCGCCCTCCCCACCCACCGAGAGTTCTTGTCATTAGCTGCTGTGGAAATAGAACAGATTGAATGAGCGGTGAATCAAGATCCTCTCACAAATGACCGTACAAAAAGCCCTGCACCAGAGGGGAGCGTATCAGTTGCCACGAAGATAAGAGCGCTTTATGCAGGCAAAGACCTCGGAGCAGCCAAACACAGAAGCCTCTTGATACACGCTCAGGACAGTGATCTACTTTATCAGCCCCGCCAACAGATTTTCCCCCTTCATCGGGGCATCTTTTCATTTTATTTGCTATTCAAAACGCTGGGGCACAAAGGATGCTCTTCATCTTGTGTGCTACTGAAATGAAATCTTGAGGTAGAAAAAAAGGAAAAAAATCCTTGCCCTAAATTCCCTTTCAAAAGTGAAGTGTGAAAAGACATCGAGCAGAGTACACAGTGTGATTGTTGCAGGAAAGTCAATTCTGCAAGTAGAGCTCAAGCCATCGGCAGGGCCCCACCACTTCCTCACCTACAGAGACTAATAAGAAAAATCCAAGGAGAAAGGTCCGCTGGGGAAGCGGAACCTCTCATGGTCCGGCCTCTGGATTATCACTGACGCCTGTGGGCGCAGCTGCTGCTCCCCCCAATAATCCTCAAGTCAGTGCTGTAATATTGGCTCCCTCCTTCCAGCTCCCAGGGGACTGGTAAACATCACTTCGTGTCCTGCTCTGAGCAGCAGAAATTTCAAATTTATCTTTTCATTAAGCAGCAGACTAGAATGCCTACTTGCTTTAATTTGTTACTTAGATTAAAAATTATTTTCAAATTTTTATAGTCTTGAAAGCTTGGTCTCATTAAACTTTCATGGATATGTAAACGCATTTTAAATTGCAAGGTATAAGCTAAGTTATAATATAGAAGATAATAAAAATCAAGATATTTTACCAAAACATGTGATAAATATTATATTTAAATTCTCATCAACTTTCTTCTTATAAAGTCTTTTTGTTTTCAAACAGGAAGAAGAACTAGGCCATCTCAAAATTCTCCTTGACTTAATTTTATATGCTGCAGAATAAGTATTTATATACCACAACCATTATTACATACGTCACTTCAGCCTTTATTGTTTCAAGGTAAAAATGTATTACTTATGATCTGAATAGGGTTTTAAGAAGCCACCAAGGTGAGCAATATGCATTCAATTCTCATTAGGAACGTGGGCTATAGTGACATTTACTCCAGAGAAATTTTACTACTACATTGACTCCTCTTGGATTCCAACTAAATGTTTTATTAGTCCCACTAACAGAAGAACTCAGGGACAATGAAAATATTGAGACAAGATCACATTGACATTCATAGTCAGTAATCCACTAGGCCTATAGCCATCACTGGAAAATGCTTCTTTAATGAAAACCTGCACAATGAACAAATTAATAAACACTAAAGCACTTTCCCCACGTGTCCGTTTTTAGGAATGCGGGGCCATTTCACAATCGTCATGATGTTATTTGTCCACACGTGATTATATAGCTATATACAAGCTGGGGCAAAGGTAGGTTTACAGTTGTAAGTCCGGGAAGCACAGAGTTTATTCTTATGTTTATTAATTATTGCATTATTTTCCATATGAACAATTGTAAACCTACTTTTGCCCCACCCTGTATATTAATGAATATTTACTAGATCTTTCAAGAATATTTTTTCATAAATAATTCCTCCACACTCCCTTCTTATAATCCTCCACTTACAGAGTTTCCTATTAACCTAAAAGTTAAAATCTATCTGTAAAATTAACACTAGACTTCAAAAGAGGTATATACATACAGGTACATCTTCCACCAAATTTGTTTTACTTTAACATGAGGAAATGGTAAGCACAGCCAAAGCCCATTCATATTATGAACATTCAAGGAGCACACTATTCAACATTGTATGCTCTTGTGCAATTATTCTGATTTATTTTTTCTTTCAGGTATAGAATGTTCTCCTAGTCTAAATTCATATATTTTCTTCTCTGCTGAGATAGTTCTCAGAAGCTTGATGACAGTCTTTTCCAAATCACACCAATTCCTCTTAGTACAAATAATTTCCTTAAGCACAAAAAATGAGGAAGATTAGAGCCGTTTCCCTCGATTTCCTAGGTTCAACTGGGGAATACTGCTTTGCAAGCCCTGGGGCACAGGGTGTTCTGACTGTTTGGAAGGCAATTTGTATACCTGTTCTCTCTGAGGGATGCTTAGCTTACTTTGATGTTAATATTTGGTATTATGTGATTTTGTGAATTGACTTTTTAAAGTCGCAGGCAAAAGAATGATAGCTTTTCCCCCTCTAGATGTCTCCTTTCTTCACTCAATTCTATTTCCTGTGTAATGTTGAAACACCAAAAATATGTTTCGTCCCAAGAAAATGCAAAAGCTCATTCTATGGTCTGGAAGTGGTTTTGGCAAAATTCAATCACAAAACAAAACAAGACCAAAGAAAACACAATTATCTGAGTAGGCCTGGGCACTAAGGTATCTGTGTCTTATTTCATTATCTTTAATTACTCCAATCTCCTACTTGCTTGACTGATTTTTAACTCACTAAAATAGATAAGTAAATTAACACACTTCAGTTCACAGAGAGATCTTACGGGAAAAGATGTTTTCATACCTTTGTAGAAGTGAAAAGACAATAGTGTTCTCATGGCTGGGACATATGTAGCTACCACCTTTCTAGTGCAGGTGGTAAAATTGAACCCTGTGTTTTCCAAATATCCCCCAGTTTTGCACTGTATTTTCTTGATTTCATATTGGAAATAATTGTGCTATTTATGTTCCTGTTCTTGACGAGACAACCAATAGTAAGAGGACTTGCATTTTACTACCTTCAAAAACTCATTTACAACAAACCATGAATTTTTTTAAAGCTAACCTGTGAAATGGCATCACACAAAAAGGTTAGTTTTGATAGTCATACTGACAAATACTTTGAATATTTTATCAGTTAAAATTCTGAAGCAAATACATACCCAAACCTTCCGATTCAAATAAACATGTTTCATCTACCCCTAAATCTCGGCACCAGGATAAGAAATTTGCTGTATTGTCTCGGGCAAAAAAGGAGCCCGGGGGTGCACTGGCTTTGCATGGAATCTTCTTCAAGGGCAGATTCTGAAAAACAAAGAAATCACACTCTGGAGGCATTCTGGCAAAGTCATCACAGCGACATATTAAATATACATTTATGTTTTCAGCAAAATGCTTTGGGATGACCTCATGTCAATAAATAGTTTACTAAAGAACTATAGAAAAGGAAGTGAAATGTAAATGCAACTTAGCTGGCAGTAAGAGACTATAAAAATCTGTGCCTGCACACATGCTTTTCAGTATCTCATGGTCAATATACATAAATCCCTACCCTGGCTCAGATGGCCTCTTTCCTTTCTCTTCTATTACTTTTTGGGCTTTTCTGCCATCAGTATTTCTCACAAAGTATCTATAAATGTATTTCTCATTTGTGAAAAAACAATGAAACACAAATATAGTACATGAATATATATGATATATAACATATCTGCATTCTTATGTGCATACGTATACACACTATAAAAATTACACAAGAACTATAAAGTTAAAAACAGAGCAGCGGAATTATTTAATATCACAAGTCTTCATCACCAATACCAAGAAAATAAGTATGAAAAATCTTTTAACAGTAACATTCTACCATCTTTCTTCTAGACTGTTTCCTTTTAAATAGAATATTGTTGTATAATATAAAAATCATTCTGGTTGGATTTCTGCTATCTGACCTTGAAACATATTACTTACATTCTGCACCATTTCTCTTCTGGGATAAAAATAAAATGCTTAAGATAAGGAAGGGTGGGAACCTCTACAGACTTTTCCATTGAGAGTCTCTCATAATTTTAGCCAGGAAATCTTCCTTGGCACCATACCAAATGTTATAAAGAGTTGTGCGGGTGTTTTGTGTTTTGATTTTTTTCTTCAATAGAATATGACCAGTTTCCATGGCATTCCATGAAGTCATACAGCGCGACTCTATGTGAAAGACTGAGCCATGAATGTGGATGATTTGAGCTTCATAGAGCTTTGCCACAAAGAGAAAAAAGGTCAAGAGAAGCACTTTGTGACTTAAATTCAAAGATAGAATGTTTCCTCTACTCACTGTGAACCAGTAAATATAACACAAATGTTGTTGATTGTTGAGCCCATATACGAGGATGGTTATAAAAAATGAAACAGTGGCCCATTAGTGGACTGGTGAAGTCCTGCTAACATCAAACCACTAGACTTCTGCATGAGCAGGGCTGTCATGACTAGACAACTAGAACACTCAGCTAAAGGCTGTGTTCATCCAGCTCTTTGCTGCTGACTGAATTTGATTTAGGGAAGATATTTTGTATGAATATACAAATATCTATACAGATATATACTTTAGGTGTTATAGATATTTATATAAATAAAAAATGGGGTAACCTCTACAGCAATACCCCTTTAACCACTTTGGTTAAGTAATGGTTTTCGGAAAAATACTTTTCTATATGAATTGTGAAAACAATCAGAAATAGCATAGAATAATATATTCTTCATAAAATGCTCACAAACACCAATTAGTATTTATTAAAATTAAAACACATATATCCTTAAACCTAGCAATCTACTTTAAAAATATATCCTACAGATATAATAGCATTACTGCTTAAAATATATTTATATTTGTTGCAACAGTGACTGAAGAAAAAACTGAAATTAGAATACATGAAGAGAGGGCTGGTGGAATAAAACATAGTATACGAATACAATAGAACTCCATGTAATCATTTAAAAAGACTAAGACAAACATATATGTACTAAACCATAAAGATGTTCATTATGCTCTTAAGCAGAAACAATAATTTGCAAACAGATATAAATATTTATAAATCTCGCAATTACATTTTGTGGTATGTGTGTACATATACACCCAATATAGATGGACATACATGAAGTTAAATTGCATATAAATATGTTACAAGTATGAATATTGTATTTCTTTATATAATGTTAATTTGGGAAAACTCAAGAAGGACATGCACCAAAACAACAGCAATTATATTTGAGGAACGTGATTGATGTAGAGGGGATCATTTACTCTCACTTTACAGAATTCCAAAGTAAATCGCAGGATTTTGAGTGACTTTGCAATATTTTCCGATTAAATAGTCAAAATAAGTAAACTTTGTCAGCCGAAACATAAAAATATTGCATTTGCTGAAACAAAGTCTCCAAGCGGCGCCTATAAACCTTTGATATGGTGACTACAGTGAAGATCATGTTTAAGAACATAAGTAGATCCAAACACTGAGCCATTTTCAGATCTACCACCACTATCCCTGGGTAGAGAAAAAATAACTTGTGAAACCACTTGAAAGGGATAAATGGACCTATAACCTAGGAGCTATAAAAGATCTGACATAGCCAAGGGCATCTAAAGGACATGAGCAGCAAGATTTGTATGGCCAAAAGGAATGCAATATCTGTGCTGCACGAAAGAAGCTGGAGACTGATTTGATGCTTAATCTATCAAGGGACACATTTTGAGAGAATACCCACAAGCAACAAGCCCTCTCCCAACCTGCTCAGACTAGTCTTAAGAAATTACAAGGACAAGCACTGAGTATATAAATAAAAAATAGCATTTCTTCCCAACCTATAGGCCTGGGGTCCTTACAAAGTCCTCTACATATCACATACCAGGATTTACATATTTATTTACAATTCATTCATACCAAAAGACATGAAAGTTACCTTAGGACAAATAAAAATAAAGCTGGCTATTGATCCTTCACAACTTGGGAATTCTGAGTGCAGAGAAATTCATCAGTAACACTGATCTAACAGCTTGGCCTTTAAGTGATTTATGGAGTATTTGTTTTTGTTCTGGAGCTGTTAGATTTAGTGCTTCCCTGTCAGCTGAAGACTAGACACTGTAAACAGTGTGAAAGCAAGTTTCCAATCTTCATCCAGATGAAATTTTTTGAGTAAAATTTTTTAAAAGTCATCCTCATTAGTCCAAATGACTAATGAGCCTTTACACAGTGCTTATAAAGGTCATCACATACACCAGGAGAAGGACCTCTGCTCATTCGCTGAGAGCAGTAGTACACAGCTTGTAGGATTCAATATTCTTCCTGACTGCACACCAACCCAAAGGCAAAGGGTCAAGGGTCTTCCCAGGGTTGAAGTGCCATTTATAATTAAGAGTCTAAGGACAGAAGTCTGATTTCACTTAAATTGAAGATCAAACGATTCAATAATACCAGCACTCCATACCTTTGGAACTTAAAAATACTTATAAAGTTCTGAAAACCTTAGCTATTATATCTTCTAGCTCTGTGATTTAAAAAAATTGTTAATTTCTCTAGGTTCTCATGAAAATCCTGAAAAAGGCCAGCTCTGTCTGAATCTCTTCTTTAATATCAGTAAATAAAAAGATAAATAAACTGAAATGTTGAATAAAATCAACTTTTACCTTGCCAAGGAAATCTTGAAGAGGTTCAGAACAGAGAATGGCCCTGGGTAATTAGGGAAGTATATACTTGAATAGCTGCAAACTGATCACAGCTATGGGGAGGAATATTCAGATCTAAAGAACTAGGCATTCACTGGAGAAGCTCTACACATAGCTCATCTGATATATCTTCCATATTAGTTTTCCCTTTACTGCTCAACTCTCCAATGAACTCCTGCAGTATTTAAGTTATATACCATCTTTATTTATTTATCCATATTAACTTTTCCAGGCAGTGCTGTTATATATTATGTCCTCAAAACCTGATTGATGAATGAGTGAATGAAAGGTTAGACTAGACCCCTCAAGCTAGATCATAATCAATGTGATAACAGGAGCAAAGACTGTATTAGAGATTTCACATTCCCAAGGGATATGTTTCTAGGGCATTCAAAATTCACTAAATTCATAGTACAATTACACATAAAATGCTTCCCATAAATTAAGAAATGCATAACTGAAACGTGTAAGTAACACCTGTTTTTGAAAGTTACTGACACAGAGTGATGAGTGGAGAACAGCTGCCAAGCTGAACTGAGGCTGGGTGGAAATCAGGCTCACTTCTCACTAGCAAGGATCATGCTACTGTGCTCCAGCTTCCATGGTGTGGAATTCAGTATTTGTCTTGGCAAAATGAGAAATGATTTCCAGTAAACCATTGGGATCACGTGCAGTAGTCAATAGGATGCACATTTACTTTTCTGTGGCCCCTAAAATACTAACAGATTGGACGATTAACACACAAGAAAATGGTTCGAATGCAAAAAACGCCCTCCACATTCCCTCAGGCAACAACCAATAGGTTGCAATAAAAAGAAAAATTTAAATTTACTTTGAAAGGCTTTTAATTCAATCCATTACCATTTAGGCACTTGCTAGGGCTTTGGAGTCCAATTACCTACATTCAAACTCAGCTATGTCACCTTCTTGCAATGATACTTTGGGGCAAATTATTTAATGTTTCTGTGCCTCAGTCTCCTCTTCTGTTCAATGAACACAGAAAATAATGCATTTCATTGGCTATGCGTATATGAGTGTGGATTAAATAATATAAGGCAAGTGTAGAAGTATAAATAAAGGCTCTTTATTATCATTGTCATTAATGCAAGTAAAAATATACTAAATTGCCTATAATTTCCTTTTCTCATATTTTTTTACAAACATTTCATTTTTTCTTATGGATACAAAAGCTCAGAAAAAGTTTGGCAAACAATTTACTTCCATCTTCACACTAAACTTGAATCTCACCTTTAGAATAGTTTTCCAATAAAACTTTCTGTGATAATGATAATGTTCTATATCTATACTACCCATTATATTAACATGTGGAGATTGAGCTCTTGAACTGTGGTGAGTGTTACTGGAAACTAATTTTTCAATTTTATTTTACTTTACTCAATTTAAATTTAAATAGACACATGTGGTTGTGGCTCTCACATTAGATAGCACATTCATTCTTAATAGGGAAAGTAAAGCCATTATTTGAAGGTGAAGAGAGTCCAATAGTTTAGGAGTTGACTACTTTCCCTCTAACTAATGTCATCCCCAGGTCTTTCAACTCCCCTCAGATCCAACAGTCCCCTTCATATAGCTACTG